GGGGGGGCTGTCGTGGGGAGCGGCCGGGGGCAGAGAGCCCCTGCGACAGTCGCCATGCCGGCCAAGGCAGGCGACAGGCACCGACAGGTAAGGGCCCGTCTCCAGTGGGCATCGTAGCAGGGTGACACCGCGCTCCCGTGAGACAGCTCCGTGGTGACGTCACCACTGGCGCCGTGACGTCACCCCCCGAATGGCGTCACCCTAGTGCCTCGTGCAGCGCGAGGTGGCTGCTCACACGAGGCAGCGTCGCTCTGCAGCCCTGCTCTGGCTCTGCTGCCCTCAGCTCCTGCTCTGAGTGGGTGCCACAGTGTCACTCGTGTGACACCAGACCCACAATGACATCACCACTCCCAGAGCCACCACATGTTACATCACCATGCACAGCTCAGCTCATTTCCCTCCAGGGTGCCCCACAGAACTGTAACCCTGCAGGGCTGCATAGGACATGGGGGTTTGGCACAGCCCCTCTTGGCAGTGCTTACTGCGTGGTTACGTCATGGTCCATCACCCTGTCCCTGCACCAAGGTATGTCATCACCCTGCCAGTGACACCCTGCGTGTTCTACACACCCTGTTCAGGCAAAGCAGCATGTCCCACAGCCACATTACCCCACACTGTACTGTTGCAACCCTGTGAGACAAAGTCATTGGACATCATTGCCATGCCACCACTGTTCCAGCATATGTCACTTCTCTTCCAGGGCAGGTTTAAACACACTTGAGGTGTTCCCACTTGGCCAGAGAATCTTTCACAGATACTGAGTAGAGTGTTTCTAACAAGTTTTTAAAAAATTATCTCAATTATACCTAGCTGTAACATTTATCACTTTCCTTTTCTTTTACTGTTTGATCTTCTCTCCGTTCAGACAATGAGGTGAGGTCATCTGCTAACCTTCATGGCCCGAACCCTACTCTGGGAGCGGCAGTGTGGGTGGATGTGTGTCTGTGAGACCTTGCTGTCTGCCTTCAGGCTCTGCGTGGGCATGTCTGCGTGTGTCCCCTCACAGGACGAAGGGCTCAGTCAGATTTGTTCCTGGATCTCATCTACTACTGGAGTATCAAAGTGTTTGATTTAAAAGCAGAAGATGAGGTGGCTGATAAAACCCTTTTCATAACAGGTTTAGGTCAATCCCAATGTGTTTGATCTTTGTGATGCGGGGAAGAGGGTTAGCATTGGTGGCCCAGAAGTGATGGAGAACAAGCAGCCTGCTTCCTCGGTCCAGAACACATGCCAGAAAGCCATAACTGACTAAAGAAAGCAGAAGGGAAAAAAAAAAAAAGAGGGATGAATATGATGGTCCAGAGCTGTGAGGTGGTAGCTCAGATCCCTGGGCAACCCTCAGTGGTCTGTGAGGGGGTCTGGACAGCAGGAGCTCTCCAACAAGAGAACAGCAACCCTTGCTGATCATCTGATCCCCGCCCAGACACCTAAAGGTGTTTCATCTTGTCTGTGGTTTATCCACGCCACAGCTGTATAGACTCTGTACAGGCATATGTGACTTCTGAAGCCTGAACTAATAAACCCCTCTAAGTGTGATCTGACTTTGCAGAGCTCAATCACATCCCCCTGCTCCTGCAATGGGGGGTGGGAGCTTGAAATCCAGAAGTACTGTAATGTTTCCTCACGGCCCCTGAGGTCCCTGGGAGCTGTCTGGGTGTTTCTGCACACATGGTAGGAGGGCTTGTGGGCTTTAGAGCATGCAAGAGTAAGAGAAAGGATCACAGTGATGTTCCTGACCTTCTACTAAGAAATACTGGTAGTTATCAAGTTACAAAGGACTTTATAAAGTTTGCAAAGGGCACAAATTCAGAACCAAAAAGCACATCCAGTCTAGATAATGAAGATGTTTATGCTAAAATTGTAAAACCCATTAATAACAATAATGATACCAACTAAACCTGGGATGAAATTCTTGCTCTGAATTTCAGTTTCTTTTATTTTTAGAACTTCCACATAAATATTTTAATCATTTTCAGTAGCCATTATCTCAAATATTCTGAAATGGAGAGGCTTTGATTCACATGTTATTTGAAAAACTTAATTAATATGCTGTAAAGGCATTCATTTTATTTTAAAGCTCTTGAAACATCATAAACTGTTTAACTCTCAGGATTTGGGGCTTTTCACATAACTTTCATTAAAATAACTTAAAAGTCAATAATTTTTAACTTTTCCCGTATTGCCTTTCCTATATTTGCCTTGAGCTTGTTAAATCTGGTTGCTGTTTTATGTCTCCTTGTCTACTAGAATATTCTAGTGGAAGAGTTGTGTGGCTCTGGAGTCTGGGGGCTTTTGCCTCATTTTCCCTGACTCAAAATATAGCCCATATCTTAGTGGCTTTGGGAGTCCAGGGACTGGATGGCTGTGCCTTTGCACTACTCATGGCCTGATGATTGGTATTTACTGAGCCCTGATCATCACTGTAAAATGAATCGGTGAGGTAAGGTCTGGATCCTGGTTCTTGACAAGAAAATCAGCTTTGAAAATAAGTGAGTAAGCTCATGCACTTCTCCCTCCTACACGTTCCTTCTCTCTGCCTGTGTTTGTAGTGAGGCAGGAAACAAGCCTGCTACTTGCTGGTGAGGCTGGTTTTTCTGCTGAGCATCGTTTCCGTAGGCTTTCCATCCTTGTCCCTTTCATTGCTAATTCTTCTCTAGCACTCTGCTCTTTTCACCTGTCTCTGTGCTTTTCATTCCTCTATTTCCTATATATAGCTTTGTTCTGCTCTGCCTCCTAGGTTTTTCATTGCTGACTGCTTTCCCTTTGAAAATTTTCTTCCTGAGATTGTTCTCAAAGCTGAGATAGTTACCTGAATGCTATCAGGTCCTTCCCTTTTATTGCATGTCACTTCCAGCCCCTCCTCTGCTTTCATGGCTGTGTTCTTCAAGTGCTTTGTGATTGATTCTTCTTTTTTTCTTCTTCTTTTCCCTTACAGGTGGTGTGTGCCTGCCCTTCTTCTGTGCCTGTCTTGTATCTGCCTTCTCCTTGACATCAGTTTCTTGCTTTATTTCACTCTTTTTTTTCTTTATCCATCTGACTTCAGCCTCCACTTCAATCTCTAACCACCTGATGTCCTTTTTTTTTCTTTGAAAGAAATCTCCAATATTCCTGGGTGAAAATATGTCAAAAGTTGGTTGGCCATCAGAGATAAAGGCTGTAGCCTTCCAGATTAATGATTTGACTTGATCTAAGCCTTAATTAGAAGCATCTTTAGGCTCTTGTATATTTGTGTACATTATCAAGAAATGTATTTCAGTGTTCAAAGTCTGTTAAAATAATTGGGTGTGTCTGGATCTTTATATTCCTGATGCAGCTTTGTAAATAATAATGCTTACGCATGCTCTGTACTTCAATAACATCCTTCCTTTCCGGCCTGAAATTTGTTATGCACAATTGAGCTCCACAGCATTTTGGCAAGATGTAGAATTATGGAAAGGCATAAGCCAACATCCCTGCATCAGACTGAAGGGAACGGAAGAATTAGATTCTCAGCCCCTCTGAAAATGAGGTCTTGAGTGTGACAAACAGGACATTCAGAAGTACAGTAGTCTTTAAAAAAACTGACCTGTTGTGGCATGTGCACAGACATGCAGGAAGTTGTTGACTGGACAGGAAACAGCACCCTATTAACCTGGTGTCAGTCCCATGCATGGTCCTGGGTGGTGCAGGAAAGTGACCAGCAATTTTGAGATTGTTATTTTAAAGATGGTTATAGGTATGCTGTTGGACATGTTGGTTCCAGAATTCTGTGTCTTTGCTTTGTGGCTCAAGGAAAAGCCTTGTGTGAGTAGTGGAGAGCACCTTGTGCTGCTGTGTATCTCTGGCTGAACCCACCCCAAGGAGAAGCAAGGTTTGGTTATGGTTTCTTAACTGACGTTGCATACACATCTTTGCATTTGCAGTGTGCAAAACCAGACTGGGTGGTCTTATCATTTAGGGTCAACCCCACTGGCAGGTCACTGATGCAACAAGGTCACCTACTCGGTGTTAAGAAAGTATCTGAATTTGAACAGCGAGGCATTTCTCATTACACTTGACGTGTGGTCTTGCACCTGCTGACATGTAACAGCCTTTTCTG